ATAATGTCGTCTACATACAGACTGCGCCTAAATGTGTCTACCTTTCTTGGGTATTCTGCCTCGTAACTTGCTGAGATGCTGTTCTATTGTTCCTCCTAATAGGAAAGGTGACTGAACAAAGCGCAAGTAAAGCTGTAAAGGAGTGGTTTGTCAGGGTTGCTCGGGTCAAGGTAATGGAACCGCAAGGCATCGCGGTCTTCCTCCTTAATCCTCACAGACAGCAGAGCCTTCTTTATGTCACCAGCTAGGGTTACTGAGAAGAATCGGTTTCTTGCTGTTATGTCAAAAATCAAGTTCTGCGGGGGGTCCCGTCTGTAGGCACTCATTAAGGGAGAGAGAGGTGCTAGTGGCTTTTGCCGTCCCGTCTTATACTAAACGAGTCTTTGTTGATTCTGCACTTTCCCTTACAACTGGCTTAAATGGAATTCTCTACCTACGACTTCTTCTGCTGCCTTCTCTATGATACCTTCCTCCTCTTGTTCCTTGATAATTTTGCCACATACCTTGAGCAACTCTGGTGACCTTCCTAGTCTTCTTACTAGATTGTGTAGCCTACTTTGCCTGTGATTGTGCTTTGTTGTTTGGTAGCTCCGATACTCCTGCTTTCCATAACAGCCCTGTTTTGTACCACCCCTCCCCATCTCTTTCTATCTGTTGTTTGAATGTTTCATACACATTGTCCTCTGTACCCCCCTGAGGATCATTCAGCCCCAATACGTCTTGGCTGCACAGTAGAGGTGTTAGCGTAATGAAGGTTGTTGGTATCTGCTTCAACTCCTGGGGACATGATGACACACCCAAGCTTGGTGAGCTCAGCAATAGGCTCTCCCACTTTTCCCACCCGGGGTCTGGATTGTGTTTTGATCTTAGAGATCTCGCTTGATCTTCATCACCCATCTCTACCCCCTTTTAGATGTGCATATTTGTTAATCATTGTGCTATAATGGGGATTAGGTAGTTTCATTAGGACATCCCTTTCTACACGGTTTACGTTCACCTGGAGATTTAAGCTTCCATCTTCATTTTCAACCATTTCTTGTCGATGCGCTCTACGAGTTGGCTTGAAGTGTATGACTCCCCTGCCCTGGTATCTAGTAATGCTTGACACTTGATGCCTCCCGCTTTCACGTTTACCACTGGGTAAACCACTGGGGTAGAGGTCCACTCGTTTGAAGCTAACATCACTTCCTTTTGACTAGCTGTATCATCCCCTTGTCACAAATTGAAGTGTGGTGACGCCCATGGCAATTCTGACAGCTAATTTTACTATGACATGGATCGATCAGCTTCATATTAACCGATTTACAGACTTTCAAGCAATAGTAACATCAAAACCAATATCAAACGATTGTATGACATTCGCTTGGGATACGTGTGTTTCCTTGTGGTATACCTTATTTTCAAGGATGTGAGGGGACTAGGACAAAATAATAATGGGCGACATGGAAAGACAGGAAAGCCTTTATGTCACCAGCTAGGGTTACTGGGAAGAATCGGTTTCTTGCTGTAATGTCAAAAATCAAGTTCTGCAGGGGGGTCCCGTCAACAGGCAGCTTCTCCCTCAAAGTACAAGCTATCACGTCATAAGAAGAGTCCTTCACAAAGCATCATATTTGTCAAAATCTTCCTTGTGTTTGAATCCGTACTGCATGATCTTAGCAAAGCGAGTAGAGACGTCCGTGTTTGTTGCAGCCTCCTCAAGTGTTGCCACTCTGGCGGGCAATAGGGCAAGCAGGTCGTTCTACAAGCAACATAGACCAGTGTTACTAACAAAGCTGGCTGCCAGCCCCTGGGTGCGGGAGTGCGCAAACCCACCCAAGGGATGGCAGTCTGACCGTCAGTAATCCGACAAGGGCATTAGACACTCTTTCAGGCAAACCATAGGAGAGATCCTAGCGCATTGAGGAATAAAGAATGCGAGAGTACCATGTCAGCTTGACAAAAACACAAGACAACAACTTGACAACAACAAGAAAATAGGACCGATGTAAGACAGTAGTGATGTTCACAGTGGCACATAGTCATGAATCGCCAGAATAATTCAATGTAAAGCCTAATAAGAACACAACGCTTCGAAAGTTCACAAAACTGCTTACGTACCCAATATACAAACAAAACGTGCACAGCACGTTTACAAATACGTAACCGCAAAGAATATTCAATCCAAAAACGTGCAAAAATTATAGCAGGGTCCAGGGAAATAAAAAGCCTTGGCAAAGTCGGTTTTTGCGAGGCACCGCACATGTACAAAATGCTTACAGTCAAAACACCTGAAGCGTCCCCTCCAAAAATGCATTATTCCTTTTATTATGTGAATATTGAGCCATTATTCGTTTTCAATAATAAAATCCGTTTTATCAATATTTATTATATTCATAAAATATTTCTCGACTATTGATTGGACCAAATCAACACATGACATCCCATATATGGAAAATACATACACAGGAAGCCTCGTATTGAAGTTGATAGGTTTTCAAGATGGCTGCCAGAAATTGTCATGGAAGAGTTTACGAGCCAGGAAAACCTCTTTCATTTGCATTTAGAAGTGAAATAATTGACATGTTTAATAATGGACATTCTATGCGGGCAATTGCTTGCAGTTTAAAGGTGACACGGAAAGCAATACAAAAGGTTATTCATCATTTTCAAGCGTATGGTACTGTTATTCCTTTTTCAAGTGGTGGTAGCGAACCATATATTATGACTGATGCTGTCTTACAATGTGTTGAAATATGGAAGTTACAGAAGCCCTCTATATATGCTTCTGAAATACAAGACAAACTTCTTCGCGAGGGGATATGTTTAAGGAATAGTCTGYCCACAATATCAGCAATAAATAAAAGTATCACACGGAAGCTACAAATGACTCATAAAAAGATTAGTCAAATACCACTAGAACAGAGAGAAAGAATGTCGAAAGTGGATGAGTATCTTGACGCTACTTCACGACTTCCTGCTACGACACTACACTTTGACGAAGCTTCGGTTCTCAAAACTACCTCTAATCGTCTTTATGGTRGCAGTTATAGAGGAGTTCCAGCTATAGAAATCCAAAAGTACGCATCAAATGCTACTTTCACTGTAAATCTATTACATAGTGTCTTTGGAKTCGACTACTATAATGTCCTACCAGGTTCTTCAAATGGAGAAGAACTTCTCGCTTTTTTCAACGATGCACTGGATAGTGAAAGAAGTAATGGACTACCAGTCTTTTTACCAGGAGATACATTGGTGATGGACAATTGTGGGTTTCACCATGGTAGAATTACTGAGAGAGTTCTGAGGCAGATGTGCACTAATAAGGGAGTCACCCTTTTGTTTCAACCACCATACTCACCTCACCTAAACRCATGTGAGAACTGTTTTCATCAAATGAAGCAAGCAATGAAAAAAAATGAATCCTATGCACAGCAATATACAGAAATGGCAATCATTAGTGCTCTAAACAACATCACATCAGCTCAGTCCCAATATTATTTCAAGAACTGCGGGTACTTGTTGTAATCTAAGTGGTAGAGTRATTTTCATAAACCCGTGAAASACACTTTAGCCTAATTAGCACTATAATACACCATGTTTCGTTTGTTTTCTATTGTTTGAATTCGACTATTACACTCTAACCGGTACACTGTCTCATGGATTAATGAAAACCACTCTAAAATGATTCTCCTATTATTGACAATAGTGCATATGAAAAATTGTTTCATTCTGAGTGCAGCAACCGTAAAAGCTGTATGTACATCCCATATAAATTGTATTTACAACTATATTGGTTTTGCTGATAAAACACCACTCTGCAGACAGTCATATTAAAACATGTTCTAATTTATTGGTTGTAAAAAATCCAAGAAGAGAGAGAATAGTACACCAGACAATAGTTTTTGTTGATTTGTTTTTCAATTTTAGAGATAATGCGATTCAGAGATAGAGTGCTTTTACTATAAGCGTGAAATAGTTCGCTAACAAAATAGTTCAAATTAGTACAAAATCCTTTGTCTTGTTTAATTAGTGCAATTTCTTAAAAAGTATTTCAAGGGTATAATAAAAACACTCTAATGTTTCAAATGATGGAATAATAATAATAATAATAATAATAATGAGCTTATATACTGCCTATACAAGTCAGTTTTAGGCTCTTAAAATAAACTATGAGGGAATATAGTGTATGTTGTACATGTAA